TCCTCAACTCAACAGGCCTCCCTCTGGGCTACAGGGCAGAGGCCAGGCGAACTGACCCCAGGGACTAGATTTCGGAGAGAAGAGGCAGCGCAGCCTGCAGCCTCCTCCCTCTGCTCCCACCACCACCTGACAAGCACCCACTTGTATTTGGACACGGCTGAGAGTGCGGAGGCGAGGCTGGCACCTGGAGATGCCCTCCAGGCCCCTTGGCACCCAGGTCAGAGAAGGTTTGGCGGGAATGCTCAGGCGGAATGCCAAGCCCCACCTCCCCTTCTCCCGAGACTGGCAGGCTGGCATGTGCTGCCAGAGGAGGGCTCGGTGTGTACAGCAGTCATGGGACCCTGGGGAGGCCACCCGGGGGCTGCAGGGCCACACCTCCAGGCTCCGATAACCCACAGCTGGGACTCAGAGGCTTAGGAGACGAGGTGGGCAGCCCTCCTCAAAGCAAAGAAAAGGAGCGGCCACACATGCCCAGCAGGGGAGGGGAGTGATGTGGGCAGTGGGGCCAGAGGGGACAAAGCCGAGAGGAGGGCAGTGCGGTCTGTGTAGAGGACAGGCTTAAGGGGAAGATTGGGGACAGCACACAAGGGCAAGAGGGCGGTGGGGTCTAGCAGGGAGGGAGCTGCCCAGAGGGGAGAGAAGAAGGGAGAGGCTGGGGGTGGGGACAAGTGATGTGAGCACAGCCTGTGACCCAAGGAGAAGAGCTCGGCCGTTGGGGTAGGGTGGGGGTTAGGGGGACCAGGGGATGACCTGTGGCAGGAATGGTGGCATGTTGGTGGCATCACTGTCAGTGGGAGTGCCCTGTCTGGGCACCCAGATGCCAGAGTAGCTTCTAAGCCCTGACTCCCAAGGGGGGCCGAGAGCCCAAGAGATGTTTATCCACCACAAGAAGGTGGCAAAATGCCTCCTCCAATGAGGTGACAGACAGCCTAGCTACTCTTTCCTGGGTCACCGAAGTGTCCTGAGAGTTGTCATATGAATGGGAGGCCTGACAAGGAAGGACGCAGCCAGCAACAGCTCCCACCCTGGTCTGGAGCCAGAGCCAGGGGGCAGCAGCACAGGCCGGGGCTGGGACAGAGAGTGTGGTCCTACCGATAAAGAAAGCAGTGAGTCATGGGCGAGAGCCAGGCTCTCTCAGGAGGCAGCTCAGAAACAAGCTCATCCGAATGCAGACAGCCACCCGTCCCCACCCTGTCCCTGTGGCTGTCACACACCCACATACACACTCCCTTCCCCCTCCTTCTCCTCTCTCCTTGATCGCCAGTGGCCCGGCTCCTTCCTCCATCTCAGTAGACAGCTTGTACCTCAGGTGGCCCAGCTGGCACCTGCCCCACAGCTGGCTGCCTGGGGAGGGGAGGAAGGAGGGACACAGGGACTCAAGGAGCCCCCCCCCCTCAGCAGAGAAAGTAAAGTCAGAAGGGTCTGAGATGGAGACAAATAAGGGAGGGGTCTGTGAACTCAGTTCCCCCTGAAAACTTTGAGGAAGGTCCGGAAGAGGAGGCACCTGAATGACCTCTGGAGGGGCCTGAAAGTCTGGGGATTCTGCCAGGCCCCCTCCCCGCGATGGGCCCCCACCCTGTGCCAGAACTGAGAATCAGTCCTTTGGGAAGACCAGCCAGCGCCCGCAGGCCTCACCCAACCCCGGGGCCCTACGCTAGGGCCCTGCTTTTGTCAGAATCACACCCGAGCCACCGGGCCCTGCAAGGGCTCATGCAGCAACAACGCTCCAGTCTTGTCCCTCGCAGCGGTCTGTCACCGTGGTGATGACCCAGACTAAAGCTGAGGAAGGACGGAGAGTTCCATTTATAAGTACACCCCTATGCCTGGCACTGTGGAGTATAATCACGATAATGCCACAAACCATGCCCTGAGGGGCATCCAGTACCATAGGGCAGAGGGATCAGTTTGGGACAAGTGTGTGCAGGCACACACACGTGCGCACACACGAGCACGTGCACACACCTGGCGGCACTGGCTGCCCCAGTGAAGGACGAGAAGGGAGTTAGGATGCAGCCACAGGTACACCCCGAGTAGCCCACACTCGGTGCACCCAGGTGGAGAGGTATAAAACAGCTGCAGAACCCAAACCCTGCGCAGCAGACAAATCTGAGAAGGCTGCAGCCTGCACAGCCCTGATCAGGGAGGAAACTGGGATTATGCCGGGAGCCTTGGAGGAATATTTTGCAATCCCTAGTGACCCCGATACTCCCCCTCCTCCTGGGAGAAACCCAGTACCTACACGTGCTCCAGGCCTGGTGCTTCCCAGACAGACCCCTCATCCAGAACACCTGCCTCCCCGAGCCAGCCTCTCACGACCCCTCTGGGTCCGTTTCCCACTTGCAAGGCTCCAAGACTTACCCAGAACAGAGAAAGCGGAGTGAGGGCCCACTGCCCCTGTCATCCTCCGGTGAGTCTTGCTCTGGTGGAGCCCTCCCTGCCTCAGAAGGCCCCCTCCCTCCAGGCTCCAGAACCCTGATCAGGGAGACAGCCACAGCTCCCAGGAGGGACACACAGTCAACTCCTGGACTAGCTCAAGGGCAGTTAACACTTTTGGTGCCTTTCCCCAGCATTCCCAGCCCTGTCCCTCCTGGATGTCTCCTAACCCTCACCTGAACTGTCCTTTTAAAGCCAGGTGCTACATCAGCCTCCTCCCAAAGGCACCAGCGACCCAGGTGAGACCTCAACCTAACTCTCTGTGTCTTAACCCGGTCCTAGTCCAACCCGTACGCATGGGGCAGCCTGCCCTTGCTGCCCACCTCCCGACCACTGGTGGGCACTTTCCTGACTTGGCTCCTTACCTTTCTCAGGTAAGCTGGGCTCTGCCTGCCACCCGCTCCCCGCCCCCCACTCATCCCCGCTGCGCCCTACCTGATGCAGGAGCCGCGGGGTCTCGCCCTGGACCAAAGCCCCGGGCTCCCAGCACTGCCCCAGCGCGGGGGCCGGGGGGCTCCCCGGGGGCTGGGGGCCACAAGGGGGCCCGGGTTCCAGCGCCTCGCAGCACACCAAGCTCACCGTGCAGCCCATCCGCCCTGGCGCCCGGCGGGCCAGGGCGGGGAGCCGGAACACGGGCGCCCCGGGAGATGGCCCGCCCCCAGCCCAGGGTGCCTCCAACGTAGGGAGGGGGTGGCGACGCCCCCAGCCTGTACCCTCCCGGAGCCTACTCTGGCGGCACCGCCAGGAAGCGGAGGAGTGCGGGGCCGGACAAGGGGCGGTGACATGAAAGCCGGGAGCAACCAGTGACAGAGGGGGACCCGAGGGCGGGGGATGCGGGGAGGGGCGGCAGCGGGGTCCCGGGGACTGGGGCGGAGGACCTGCTGAGTACAGGACGGAGGATCCGCTGAGTACGGGACAAGGGTGGCGAGAAAGAGACCCACGGAGAGAAAGACGAGGCAGGAAGAGGTTAAGGAGACACAGAGAGAGAGAGATAGGGAAACAGGGACGCGGGGGACAATGAGGAGGAACCGAGTCTCTGCACTGGGGATACCGAGTCCGAGAGAGGCAGAGACCGGCCGGGAGTGGCGCGGGAGAGCAGAGCCAGGCGCCCACCAGCATCGCGTGCGCTTCCTCCGGTGTGTGAAACAGTGGTCCTCCCAGGCGCCCGCTCCTCCTTGTGTTCTCTGCCCCTCGCACTAGCCCGTGGGTCACCCCTGCCTAGAGAAACGACGTGGAAAGATCTCAGCCTCAAGGAGGCAGAGCACATCCAGGGTGGAAGAGCCACATCTCACCTGGGCGATGCACCTGGCCCATTCCTGGATACAGCATCTCACCAGTAGTCCCTTCCCTCCTTTTAGGGGTGAGTACCAGGACGGCGCTGGTGACCAGCACTTATGGGGACCCCCTCAGAAGACTGAGGTAGGGAGGAGGAGAGAGACATGTGATGGGACTCCCCTCCACCCCTCCCCACCTGCATCTCACTCCAACCAAGGGTCAGGAAAAGCCGGCAGAGTATCAGACAGGGCAGCATCCCAGCCTCTTTGTGCCACCTGGTGGTGGTAAGGAAGAAAGACCAGAGCAAGTGGCCGTCAGGAAAAGGCAGGAAAAGGCGAGGAAGCTCGCCCCTGGGTGAGGCCTTCTTTGACCTACTCGTCATCCCCATCCCAGTCATTCTCCCCTGGTGCCCTTGACCCTGCCACTGCCGCTGCTCCCCACAGTCACCTGTTCCTCCCACTCGGAGCAGGGTTTCCCCTCCAGGGCGCTGGGCTGAGCCTGAGTCACCTCCCAGGCAGCAAACGGAGAAGGCTGCTCAGGAGCGACGGTCACAAGTGGCAGGCTCAGGCCGCCCCCTGGCTCTCCATGCCTCAACCTGCCAGGCCTTCCGTGGTGAGTAGAGACTCCTGGGTCTGGGGGAGGCTGGAGGGGGGAACAATGCGAGGAGCAAGGAGCTGAGGAGTTTTGACGGATACGAGGGACAGGACAAGATGCACGTCCTTGTTCCCGGGTGTCATAAACTGTGTGGGCTGGGAGGGATGTCAGAAACCCTACGCCCAAACCCTTGGTCCGTGTGTGGGCAAACTGAAGCCCAAGAAATGTGAGTTACATGCCTAAGGTCACCAGGTGAGTTACAGGACCAGATGGAGACCTGGGTCCCTTACTCCCAGCTCAGTGTTCCCTGAAGGCCACCCGCCACCCACTCCCCTCCTTACTCTTGTCTCCCTGCTCCTGTCCTCTCCACTGTGCCCCAGCACTTCACTCCCGCCCACCCCCAAATTCCAGCATCCACAGCCTGGGAGGCAGGGGCAGGGTTTCCTACCCCAGGCCCAGTCTTCACTCCGGGCTCTCAGAATAAGCCCACTGGCCCTCAGGGGCCGCAGCATTCCTGTCTGAGCTGCAGGGCCCACGGGTGGCTAAGAGTCACCTGGGAGAGAGCAGTAGGGTCGAAACCAGGGGTCCTGCTCCCCACACCCCAGTCCCAGCCCCAGGGCCGCACATTGCTTCTGCCTCCCTCCCCTCGAAGAAGGCACACTTTCCACTCAGATGGGAACCAGGAAAGGATGAGAATGTGTCTTGAGGATGGTGACTGCTCGGGGGAAGCTTCCCATGGGGAAGTGGGGCGGCTTCCCTCCGCCCAGCCTGCACACACCAGCATGGACAGGGCTGCTCACATCAGGCCAGTGCTGACAGCACCGGCCCTTGTAAGCACACGGACCTGAGTTCGAATTCTAGTTTCATAGTTTGGAGCTTTGTGACCTTGGGTAAGAGACGTACCCTCTCTGAGCCCCCGTTCCACCTTGCAGAAAATGGAGTTGGTGACCTTCCAAGGTCATTGTGGGGTCTGAATGAGACAAAGGTATCAGGCACCCAGGAGCTGCTCCACAAGTGGGGGCCGCACCCTCATCTTCCCACACTGGCCCACAAGGGCTAGGGTTGTATCCTGCCAGTGAACCCACTGTGACCCTGGAGGCACTGCATTTCTGCTCTAGGCCCTGGGTCTTCCTTTGTGTAAGGAGGGGACTGGACAGCTGACCTCAGGGGCTCCTTCCTGGACAGAACTTCCGTAGCCACAAGGAATCATATTATCTTCAAATACGCATGGCAGAAGAGGGGGCTGCCCTCAAGGTCACCAGGGACCTGAAAGGTGAGTGTGTCCCAAGAGATTTTCTGGGACTGAACTGGGGGAGAAGTGTGGGGTCTTGGGAGCCTCTCCCTCAGAGACCTCACTCCCTGGTGTTTAATGTCCATCATCTTCCTCACAGCTGCTGTCTCTGCCATCCTCCAGGGCTATGGGGCCGGGCATCGGGTGACAGACGCCAGCGCTGAGCTGCACAGACTCTGTGGCTGCCTGGAGCAGCTGCTGCAGGTGGGGCTCTGCCCCCCCTCCTGTCCCCTCCCCTCTCTTCTCCGCAGGCCCAGATAACCAGGAGGGCTGTCCCAGATCCTCAGGGAAGAGCCGCAACCCTTCCACTGCTGCTGTGCACCACTTCATCCCTCTTAGTCAGCAAGTCCTCCCCAACATCTACCCTCGCTCATTAGGCTGTCATTACAGCCTGGAAGGTGCGGTGAGCAGGGCTGGGGCAGGGTGGGGAGGGGCTAGGGGCAGCCACCCTGCTCCAGAGGCTTCAGTTGCAGGAACACAGATGTCCTAGGGTTGGCCCTCCTTGCCGCTGGTTAGAGCCCAAATCATCACTATCACTAGCTTTTACTGAGCACATACTATATGCCAGACTAAGCCTTTACATGGTTCCCCTTATTCAGTTCTCACTCTAACCCCCTGAAGTGACTCATGACCTGCCCATCCCCCACACATACATGCACTTCCTTCCTACTTCTCTGTGCATGTATGTGTGTGTGGTGGGAGTGTGCCCATGTGTGTGTGTGTGTGTGGTAGGGGGCTATGGGGGTGCATGTGCGTGTGGTGTGGGTATGTGGTGTGCCTGCATGAGCCTCCTGCCAGTCTGTGCTCTAGTCACACTGGCCTTCTTGATCCTCTAAAGCACGCCAGGCATGCACCCACCTCGGGGCCTTTGCACTTGCTATTCCCTCTGTCTAGAATGCTCTTCCCCCAGAGATGTAAGTGGCACACTTTCTCATCTCCTTCAGTTTTCAATGTGAATAGTACCTGTTCAGTAAGGCTTTCTCTGGCCACCATAATCTAAACTTTTAACACATACATATATCAAACACAGCACACATACACAACACATACACATGTGTGCACATACCACGCAATTTCTATTCCCTTTCCCTGCTGTATGTATTTCTCCTTAGCGGCCAGCACTCTCTGACGTAGTATGTATTTTCACTTATTTGGTGTGTTCGTTGTCTGTCTCCCCTTCCAAGACGTGAGCCCATGAAGTCAGCTTGTTCATTGCTGTATCCCCTGGACTTAGGACAGGTCTGGCACCTAGTAAGTGCTCAATAAGTACTTCTGGAATGAATGAGAACACTGAACATGCAGAAAAGTCCAGCAGCTCGCTCCTGGTCACACAGCCATGGGTCCATCTGTACAAGCCGTTTCCCCTCCACCATATGCCCGCTGCTCGTGCTGGCACACAGGGCACGTTCTAGGAGGGAGCGTGTCCATGGTTCCTTTCCCTCGGCTTGCTCGCAGTTTGACCAGAAGCAGCAAAAGAGCTTCCTGAGGCCGCCGAAGGACTACTGGGACTTTGTTTGCACTGCCCTATGGCGGCAGCGGGGGAACACAGAGCCAGCCCGCTTTGTCCACGCACAGGACAAGGTATTGAGTACCAAGGGCAGGTGGGCTGGCCCCAGCATGAGGGGGTCCTGCCACCAGGCCCTTGACGGGGATCACTCAGGGGCCAGGGGACAGAGGCCAGCCCAAGGCCTGTCACAGTTGCATAGACTGTAGGTGCCCCTACCTGGCCCTCAGCTCTCGGGAGCACTGTCCGCAGCACCCCTCTAGCCACCCCCTTCCCTCCTGTAGCCTCGGTCCCGTAACACCTTCTTCATCAACCACCCATCCCCTCTCTGGGCTGGCTGAGCTCCCCTCATCCTCACAGCACCCCCACATTGCCCCCTGTGCACTCTGCAGTTGAAGACGCCCCTGGGGAGAGGCCGCGCCTTCATCCGCTTCTGCCTCGCCCACGGACAGCTGGCCGAGTGGCTGCAGCTCTGCCTCCTGAGCCCACAGCTCACCAGGTGGGGCTGCCGGACATGCTCCTACTCCTACCATCTGAACCCACTGTCCCCCCTGAGTGAAAGGTCCTCCTCTGCCCTCAAAAGGGTGGTTTAATATCAAGGATGACTGAAATGAGAGAGACGAGGGGGGGAAGCAAGAAAGACAGGGGGGCGGTTACAGCTCCAGTCCTGGTATCGTCCGTCATGATATGTAGGCCTCCTGCCCTCCAGGGGCCACAGTCCAGCTAGAGGAGCTGTCCCATGATGCTGTGCAGCAAAGAGGTACATTCTCTGAGGTCAGGGGTGGCAACCGCACCAGGGCCAAAGACCAAGGGTGTTGGTCACTGTGAACACAGGGAATGGTATGGCCCCCGCAGCCCTCTGGTGTGCCCTGAACTCCAGGAGGACATCTTGGACTCCCTCTATGCTCTCAACGGGGTGGCCTTCGACTTGGACCTGCAGCGGCCAGACCTGGACGGGGCTTGGCCCATGTTCTCAGAGTGAGTGTGTATGCGTGAAGGGAGGCCGCTCCTCATACCTGCTGCCAGTGCTACCGCCCGTCCCAAGCCAGCCCCAAGGCCTGGGCCTCTTGCACCATCCATTTCTCCCTCCCTTCATGCTCCCCGAGCCCCTGAATCTCCACCTCCCTGGCCTTCTGTTTTCCCAGCATCAGCTCATGATGTCCCGTGAGGCTGCATTGCATACACACTCACTCTCAAGAGTTGTTGAGTGGCTGGGGCAGAGTTAGAAGGATGGATGGATGGTGGGTGTTAAGGGATTGGTGGATACATGGAGGGTGGGATGCAGAGGTGAATGGAGAGGGGGGTGCATGTGTGAGGTGGGAGGGAGGAAAAGTGGTAAGTAAGCATGGCGAATGAATGGGTGGTTGGAGAGATGGGATATCCTGCGTCCAAGAGCCAAGGCCACATCTGGAGAGAGGCCCAGGGTCCCCCTTTCACTTTCAGGTCCCGCTGCTCCAGTTCCAGCCGGACCCAGGGGAGAAGACCCAGAAAAAACAGAGATTCCCCAGAGGAGGTGCTTCTGCCTGACCTTCACTCTCAGGTGCCTCTTCTCCATCCCTGCAGGGACCCCCACGCTGGGCAGTAGCTAAGTCCTGTACCAAGTGGACAGACACAGAGAGAGGCCAATGTGTGGACCTGGGGACTGGGGGCCCACAGAAGCGGAGGCCATTTTCCTAAGATGATGGGAGTATCAGGGAGAGAGAGGGGCCACCAACACCACCTGCAGGAGCCAGTGGGGCCCATGGGAGGAGGAGGAGCCGGAGAGGGTGACCAGAGCTGGTAGGAAACAGACCAGGGAAATAACCTCTTCTGGACGATTTGCAAAGGTCTCAGTTCAGTTCAGGGAGTGATTGAAGAGCCAGTTCACCTGGTTCAAATCCCAGCCCCACTCTTATTAACCATGGTCCTCCTTAAGTTACTTGTCATGTCTCGCACGGAGATTGCGGGGATGCATCGAGACAGAGCCAGGCTGCCATGTGCTCAGTAGGTGGTAGTTGGCAGTCACCATCATTCCACGACCTCGCTGTACCCCCACCCCCACCAGCTCCCGGGTACTAGGTACAGATACTGTGAGGACTCAGTCTCTGGCCTGAAACAGTTCAGGTCTGTTCAAGGGGACAGACCCTAAAGGAGCACATTGCAGCATGACTTGTGAGGTATGGTGATGCCAACGTGCACCGGGGCACGTGGGGCCCAGAGAAAGCTTCTTGGCAGAGGTGACTCCTAGCAGGCTGTCGGTCGATCTAAGCTTTCAGCACAGTCTTACAAGGCAGGTTTTTACTCCCATTTTTCAGACAAGAAAAAGCGAAGAAGTTCATAGGGAAGTATCAGAGAGGGGTGGGAAGAACTTAGAGGAAGCCAGACCCACGCAGAAGATGGAAAGGAAGGAGGGAGAAGAGCATGGGCTAGCGGTGAGGGAGGAAGGGGCATCAAGAAGCACTGCTGCTCTGATCGGATCAAAGCTGGGGCCTCAGATCAGGTCACCTGGTGTTAACATTCAGATTCCTGGGCCCTCCCCAGATCTGCTGGGTCAGCATTTCTGGTGGAAGGGCCTGGGAATTCATAGAGTTAGCAAGCCTGTTGCACTAGGGCTGTGGTCTTTCCCATGCACCAGCTTGGTGAATTAGGGCTGAGAGGGATGACAGTGGGTTTGGGGGTTTCTCTGCAGATCTCAGCTGTGAATGGAAGCCCCAAAGGAGTCCTGCCAGGGGAGCCACATACCAGCCAAGCCAGTGGTCTGCAAGACGCACCAGCAGACCAGTTGGCTGGACTCCTTACATCCCAGCAAAAGGGGCATCTTTTGGAAGTGAAGAAAGAAGATCCCAGAAGCCTCAGGGTCCCCCACAGCATGTGGGAACTGGAGGGGGAGGAGCTGCAGCAAGACCAGGAGATGGGAGCCCCAAGGGCGAGCATCCGCCTGGGAAACTTAACACTCAGCATCCAGGGTCAGGGGGAGGGGGCCAAGCGGGCTGTGAAGGAGGTGGTAGAGACAGAGCAGGAGGGCAGAGGGGTTCTGCTGAGTGCAGGGGCTCAGAGAACAACAGAGGGGACTCATGAAAGGGAAGCAGAGTGGGGTCATGTCCAGAGGCTGCTGGTCTCCAGCTCCAGAGGGACAAATGAAGACACAGTGTCAAGGAACAGACAGGAGTGCAAGGTGCCTGGCATTCTGGGGGAGCCCAGCGTCCTTCAGAGCCTGGGAACAAAGGGAGGCTCCACCACCAAGAAGCCACGGGAGCAAACAGGAGGGACTAGTGTGACCAGGACAGAAGAAGAGCAAGCAGACATGGCCTTGCAGGATGTGGTCGAGGTGAGAGCCTTGAGCTGTGTGCCTGTCTATCCCCCCAGTCTAAGCGAGCCACAGCTGGATGTCTTCAGTGGTCGCCTGGGGACCATCCCAGCCCACAGATCAGTATTTACTGGCCTGCACAGGACTATTATTTAGTTGAGGATGACTTTGAAACCCATGCATTCTTCAGTTCACCAAGGTCCCCACCTGTACCTATTGCCTCACACCAGGCCCACTTTATTCATCAATACCACCTGCCTGGTCCCGATAGGCATTTGGGACACCTTTCCAACAGTGCTGCAGGGCAGTTGCTTGTTCTCGTTTTCGTAGCCCCGTTATGGGCAAGTTTCCTGCCAATGTGTAAATTCTACTGTTGCAGATCTCGGCAAGTTGCTCTTGCTGTAGACTTGTCTCCTGGAGGTCACCCAAGATTGTTTTAAACCTTCCTTCAGCCTGCTCCCTAGCTAGAGTCTTCCAGGTTCTTGAGCTTTGTAACTTCCATCCCTTGGTGAAGGAAGACATGGTGTCTCCAGGCTCACCCATGGGCAGAGCCAGACATCACACCTCAAAGCGCTGTGCCCAATCCTGCCTTCCTCTCAAGGATGGTCTCACATGGCCTGAGGTCTCTTGAGGATGTTTGTCAAGTCATTCTCTGGGCTGGGGTCTCTGCCCTCCCTCTTCATCTTCTTTTTCCCTTCCTTCTCCTCTCCCCTCCCCAGAGCCTCAGACTTAGGCTCCGGAAGACCGAGGAGCAAGCCCAGCACCAGGAGCAGCTGCAGAAGGAGCAGGACAGGCAGCTGAAGGCACTGCAGGAGCAGCTCATCAGGTAACCTTGGCAACCACCAGCACCCATGGGAGTGAGAGCCAGGAGGCTGGAGGGACAGGCAGTGCTCCCTGGCTCCTACTAGCATTCAGTCAGCAAGCATCTTCTGAGTTCCTCTTGTGCACCGAACCACGTACAGGGCATAGTTTGGGGATGCTCAGGCACCCAGGGCACTGTTCCTGTTCCAAGGGCTCCCACCTTCCCCTCCCATCTCTTCCCCTTCCCTGCCCCCTCCCTCGCTGGCTTTCCCATGTAGCCCCCAGGAGAGATCTGTACCTCCTCTCCCCCACTTTCCTTCCATACTCACGTTGGCCCCTTTTTGCTGCATCCCCTGGGCTGTAGTTCCTCTGAAAATATACTCCGAACTAGGTATTGGACTGACAGCACCCACTTCCTGGCTTTCTGGCTGTGTGTCGCTGGGAAACTGGCCTTCCCTCTCTAGCCTCAGGGGCCCAATTTGCAAAAAGAGATAGTTGGATCTTTAAAGTTCTTTCTTCCAGTTCAGCTGAGCTCCTTTGAGGCATGCCCGGGGTTCATGAGGATATTCCCTTGCTCCCACCAGCTGCCCACTCAGCACTGGTGCCACAAACCACTGGTGATCAGGGCTCGGTGTGGATACAAGTGTGGGGAGACACAGAGATTAGAGCTAAACAGGCAAGCTTCTGGATCTCTGCTCCCTCCACTTACCAAACTGTGTGACCCTGGATGAGTGTTCCTCCCTCTCCAAAGCTCCATTTTCTTTCCTGTAAAATTATGATTATAATACCTGTCCCGTAAAATTTGCAAAAACTAAATGAAACAGGCTATTAAAGCACTAAGCTTAATGCCTGGTACATAGCAGGTGTTCTAGGCTTTGATTCCTTCCAGGTCCCCTTCTAAACTAGAAGTGTCTGTTACCCTGTGCTTTAAATGCTCCAACGGCTTCCCATTGCACTGAGACTAAAGTCCAGTTCTCTTGGGGCCACTGAGGGACAGATCAGGCCCTGCCTACCTCCCACCTCATCTCCCGGCTCTGCTACCCCTGCCATTCTTGGTATTCCAGCTTCACCAGCCTTCTTTCAGTTCCTTGAACAAGCCAAGTTCTTTCCAACTTGCAGACCTTTGCGCATGCCCTTCTCTAGTTGTACCTGGCTGACTTCCCATCTTTTAGATCTGGTTCAGTGTCACCTTGTGTAAGAAGCCTCCCTGAGCTCCCTCTCAGGTCTCCATCTCAGCCTCCCCTTTGTCTCTGCTGTGTACTTAACTCACATTATTTTCCTGGTCTGCCATTTGTTCTGACCACTGCCCCAAACACCCTGTCAGTCCCACCAGGAGCCATAGGCATTTCTCTATTGCTGGTGCACAGTAGGTGCTTCTTGTTATTTCCTCCCACCTCAAAGACACACAGTAACCACGGTTGTCACATTAAGGGCTGCATGGGCCACAACACGGGCCCTGGGGTCACTGGGTGAGTAAACTATCTTAGGAAAATGAAATCAGCAGCTAAGAAAGGAGAAGGCTGAAGACTAGAGTGGTCATTGGAAGTCCAAACATGGCCCAGATCCAACGCCTGAGCACAAAAACACTCTTTGTTACGGCTGCCGGGATTGGCTTTTCTGGAATTCGAGTGACCTTCTGTTGTTGATTTGATGTCATGACCCACCCAGTTTTCTTGCCTGCAGCAGGCTACATGGAAGCATTTAAAAAATTAATAATTCAATTCATTGTCAAGCCTCTTGCAAGCTTCTCCTTCCCCCCCAAACACACTGGCCCAGGGCTGTGGGCACGCACATGCACACGTGAGAGGCCGTGGGACATGCATGGCCATCGCAACACCCTCCAGTCTGAGAGATGGAGTAAGAGGCTGGGACCTTTTTATTTCCAGCCCAGTAGATTTCTTGGAACCTTCTAGAAAGCCACTAAAGACAAAAAGGAGAAGCAAGAATGGAGCTGAAAAGGTTCCAAGCCTAAAGCTGAAATAGAAATTTAAGAAAGCCATATGCTTAATATTACTTTTTTAAATTGAAAAGACAATGTAACGTTAACTTTTCAAAATATTTTACACCCCCAAATCACCCCAGATCCTACGCCACTTCTCTTCCCTTCCCCAAGCACCTCAGTTATTTTCAGCCGGACACAGCCCGTCCAGCCTGGGTTCCCAGACACCCGCCTTGCCCCAGAGAGCCGCCATGGTTGTGAATATGTCTTTCAAAAGGTTTACATTTTGAAGTGGAAATAGTTCTAAAAGGAAAACAAATGGAAATGTCGGCTCGTCTCCGCTAAAGGAAGACACAACACTGGGCCCCGTTTGCATTTCTCCGCAGGGTTGGTGAGGAGTCGGCCTGCAGTGTCAGTCCTCACAGTACGCAGTGTGGTGTGTGGCGTGGTGTCTGTGGGGCGTGGCGTGTGTCGTGTTGAGAAAGTGTGTGTAATGTGCACGTGGTGGGGTGTGAGTGTGTGGTGTGTAGTGTGTGATCTGTGTGGTATGAGTTGTGAGTGTGTTCAGCGTGTGTGTGGTGTGGCATGTGAGTGGCATGTGGTATGTGTGATGTTCTACAAATGTGTATGCACTGTGTTGTAAGTGTATTTGGTGCACGGTGTGTATGTATATGTGTAATGCGATGTGTATCTATGTATAGTGTGGTGTGTATGTGTGTAATATGTATGTGATGTGTGTATGGTATGGGGTGTGTACTGTAGTGTGTGTATGTATAGTGTGAGGTATGTATACGTATATGTGGTATTTGTGATCTTATATGTTTGTATAGTGTGGGTGTGTGTATAGTGTAGAGTGTGTGTATGTATACGTAGTATGGGGATATGTATATGTGGTGTATGTATGTACAGTGTGGGGGTGTATGTGTGTAGTGTGAGAGGGTATGTATGTGTAGTGTGGGTGTGCATGTGTAGTGTAGTGTGTGTATATATGATGTGGTGGGGGGCGTGTGGTATATGTGTGTGTAGTATGTGGTGGGTGTGGACTTCAACTGCAGGGGCCACCCAGCCCCCCAGGGGCTCCCGTCAGGCAGAGGCCCAGCCCAGCTCAGTCAAAAGCTGAGCTTTTTCCCTGAGAACTGAGTCTGCCTGTTGTGCACAGGTGCCAGGAAGAGAGAGCCCGGCTGCAGGCAGAGCTGGAGCAGAAGCGACAGGAGGCTGAAAGGAGGGGCGCCGTGTACGAGGAGGAGCTCCGAGGGCAGCAGGACCTGGTCCTTGCCGTGAAGAGGCGGGTGTTAGAACTGATTCGGTAAGTGGGGGGCCAGTGACCAGGGTGCAGAGGGGAAATGATATGGGAAGTAGAGGCTGGGGAATGAAAATTCTGCTCCACTAGCAACTATCAAGCAGGATTCTGGACCTTTATATACACTAACTCGTTTCCCGTTTTGGTTTTTTTTTTTTTTTTTAGCTTGCTCTTATTCCCAGTTTACAAACTGAGGGTCAGAGAGGCTGACTTGGCCACCAAGAACACACAACACAAAAATTACATAGAGTTCTCTGACTCTAATGCATGCCCCCCACCCAAACCAACCCCCACGTACATATACACCTACTAAAGTTAGGAGAAGAGCCCATGGACTTAGAAGGAACTAGAGAAAGGGCAGGGTAACCAAGAGGTAATCACATGTCCTACACCTGCCTGCCTACTGGATGGACTTCCCCAGATCACTGGGCCTGCGGGCCCATCCTGGGTCAGCTGTCCTAGCTTCCAGAGGCTGAGCTCACCAGAATCAATTCCAAGCTCACTGAGGGATGGGGGAGATATATAAAGCCTGGTTTCTGCTCTTCAGTCTAGTGGGGAGATAATCCAGATTCATTATCCTTTACCCAGTTCAGGAAATGAGAGACCATTGCACTCAGGTTCCATTAGAACTGGGAGGTTGCTGCAGGATTATCTAGGACTAAATCCTCTAAGCACAAAACCCAAGTGACATTAAAAATGAGAAAAGGGAGAGATCAACCTGAAAACAAAATACTTAAGGGGTGATCTCCTCCCAGGAACTGTCAAATTGGAGGAAGGGAGATATGAAAAATTAGCTATGTATCTCACAAAAAAATTAAGGTAGCTAACAGTAAAAGATAGCTATAGAGATATAGATATATGATTGTTAAAGAAAAGTGGAAGATTTCATGGTAGACAAAAAATACACACTCCCAAAGTGTTAGGATTAGGGTTAGGGTTAAAACTTGGCAGCAGAATCAAAAAAGGGAAACACAGCAAGTTGCCCGAAATTCACTGTCTATTCAAAGGAAGTATACCAGTTCACAAATAGAGAGACAAACGTTTTTTCTAGTGATGAAGAATTCATCCGAAGGTCCCAAACTACATAATATAATGCCCCTTGCAAAAGCATTTTGGAAGATATGGCCCTAAGCAAAAAGTGAAGGGGAAAAAAAAGCCGTGGAGGCTGACTTCTGCATCAAGATGCTAGACTGACCACACAGCATCTATTCTCCATCCTCAGATCTCACTAAAATGATTGTAAAAGAATAAAACTTACAACAGAGAGAGAGGTGGAGGAGCCAACCATAGACGAGAGATTTCAGCTAATTTCCAGAGGCCTGGAAATGGATGGAGAAGTGGAAACTGGATTTAGCCCAAGTTAGAACTTTAGAGCCCAGAGACACCAGGAACACATATGGCACAAGTGAGCTGAGGGGCAGAAATCAGGAAGATTAACTGATGGAGCCACTAGAAAGAGCAGTGTGCTCCCCCTGCTTTCTGCCTGCCTCCCCAGGTGCAGGATGTTCAACAGTTGAGGGGCTTGTCTCCCAAGCCAATAATTAAAATGTCCTTATCTGGAGAATGATGGAGAGCAATGTGTTCAGGCCTCTGGGAGCCTGGTGTGATGAATAGCTACCAGCCCAATCCCTCCTAAAGGAAAGCCACGGGTCAATGACCACTGTCCAGTAAAGTACCTGGAGCCCCAGCAACTTTACTGCCTCCTCCTAGATGAAATGGCAGCCAAGTTTTTGTAGGCATTTGAGGAAAGTCTAGAACAGAAAAAGGAGATAAACAAAGAAAGATACATCTTCCATTAAAGAAGATGCTATGGAAGCAAACTGCCAATAGGTAAGAAACATTCTTGGAAATTAAAATGTCACTGAAAAAATTTTAAATTCACTAGGGTTGGACAAGAAAGATGAGGCAGTCTCTCAGAAAGTAGAATAAAAAGTACAGAGACTTCCGCCAAGATGGAGGCATAGGTGGATGTGCCGTGCCTTCTCACACAACCAAGTTTAGAGACAACTAAATATTAGCAACAGAAAACACAGCCAGAACACGGAAAATTAAACTTTTCGGAAGTCCGTTAACAACAAATTCTTCAGTCTGACCGGTAAGGGGCGAAACCAGCGGCTGGTGAAGCGGGATTGCACAGGTCTCGGTCAGCCGGACTCAGTCGCGGAATCCAGACGCGCGGAATCCAGGCACAGGGTTGGACATAGTGAGTGACCGAGCGAGCCACCAGGCGAGCGACCACGGGGGAGACAGCGGGGGAGCGGGGCTGCGTGTTGACTGTGGTCGCGCATTTGTGCGCAGGCGGACAGGGTAGGGAGTGGGCGGTTGGACCAGGGCCCGGCGGGTCCCCGCGGCAAATGGCAGTGGAGGGTGCCGCCATTTCCCTGCTCTGACCCCACCTCCACATACAGCGTCATAACCCAGCGACTCTGAGTGGCCCGGCCCAGGTGAACCACCTAAGACGCTAATCCTTACCCAGCTGTGAGAAACAGCAGAGGGGGTCGCCATTTCCCCGCTGTGACCACGCCCCCACATACAGCGTCACAACCCAGCCACCTGGGAGTCCAAGGCACCGCTTCTCACACTTAAAGGGCCAGAACAGACCAAAAATGTCGCAAGATCTCAAAGCCCCAGAGCCCATAGATCTAAGCAATGAAGAAATAGCAAAACTCTCAGACGCACAGTTTAAAACACTGGTCATCAGGATCCTCACAAAACTGGTTGATTATACCGACAAATTAGACAAATATATGAAGGCGAAACTAATTGAAATGAATGGAATTGCACAGGACACCAATAGCAATGAAAAGGAAACTGGGACTCAAATCAATGGAGTGGACCAGAAGAAAGCAAATATTGGCCAAACAGAAAAGAGTCAAGAAGCAAGAATTCAAAGAAATGAGGAGAGTCTTAGGAACCTCCAGGACATCTTTAAACGCTCCAACATCCGAATTATAGGGGTACCAGAAGGGGGAAAGGCACAGCCACCAGTGGAAAACTTATTTGAACAAATAATAAAGGAGAATTTCCCCAATCTGGCAAAGGAAATAGACTTCCAGGAAATCCAGAAAGCTCAGAGACTCCCAAAGAAGTTGGACCCAAGAAGGAACACACCAAGGCACATCATCATTACATTAGCCAAGATTAAAATGAAGGAGAGAATCCTAGAAGCAGCAAGAGATAAGGGGACAGTCACCTACAAAGGAGTCCCCAGCAGACTGTCAGCGGATTTCTCAAAAGAGACCTTACAGGCAAGAAGGGGCTGGAAAGAGGTATTCCAAGTCATGAAATCCAAAGACCTACAACCAAGATTGCTCTATCCAGCAAAACTTTCATTTAAAATGGAAGGACAGATAAGGTGCTTCTCAGATAAGATCAAATTCAAGGAGTTCATCATCACCAAGCCCTTATTATATGAAATGTTAAAGGGACTTATCTAAGAAAAAGAAGTTAAAGAAACATGAACAGTGAAAGGACAACAAACTCACAGTTATTAACAACCACACCTAAAACAAAAGCAAACTAAAAGGACAGCTAGATCAGGAGTGGAAACATAGAAATGAAGATCTCAAGGAGGGTTAGCAACAGGGGAATGGGAGGAGGAGAAGGGGGGAGAAGGTACAGAAAATAAGTAGCATAGACAGTAGATAGAAAATAGATGGGGGGGGGGCAAGAATAGCATGGGAAATATAGAATCTAAAGGAATTGAGACACATGGTCATAAACTAAAGGGGGGGTAATGGTGGGGATGGGTGGGTAGGGTGGAGGGGAATGAAGGGGGGAATAGAACAACTGTAACAGCATAATCAATAAAAAAATTTTTAAAAAAAGTACAGAGAGATGGAACATGTGAACAAAATAATTAGAGACATAAAGAATCCATCCGGGAGTTCAGGAAGTTCTTTGACTGACAGGAATTTTGAGAGAGGGAGAGAATGAATCAGATTACAACGTGAGGGACTTTCCCAGCCCTAATGGAAACATTGGATTTCAAGATTTTACTGAGTGACCGGCACAGTAAATGAAAGGGGGGACCCACATCTAGATAAATCATTGTGAAATTTCTGTAAAACAAAGATAAGACTATCTTAAAAGACAGGTCACTTATCAAAGAAGTAGGACATGACGACTGCTAAGAACCAATGGTGTAATACTTTCCACTTCTCAAAGCTGAGTTTTGCCCTAGAATGCTATGCTCAACCAAACTACGAAGCAGGTAGGGAAGGTGATGAAAAGACATTTTTCAGACAGATCACAGAAAATTCACCTCCCACATAGCATTCTTGAGAAGCTAATTAAGGATGTGTCCCAGAAAAACAAGGAAGTAAGCCAAGAAAGGAGAACATGTGGAATTCAGGAGACAGGAGCTCTAGCCCAGGAGAGAACGAGAGGGAATTCCCAGGATGAAAGTGAGCAGCAAGGCCAGGAAGCAGTGAGTCCAGGCTGTGGCGGAAGTATTGTGAGCCCATAAAATACCTGATATGATGGAGAACTGGGGCAGGTGGAAGTAATTAGGCTATGTTAAAAGCAAGTTGTGCAAGGAACAAAGAAAGGCAATTAGACACACAATGCGGTATATAGATGATGCATATAAAATTGTACACTTGAAATCTATATAATTGTATTAACCAATGTCACCCCAATGAGACAAAATAATATACTGTAAAAAAAAAAAGGCAATTAGAAATTCCTGGAAAAACAAACAAAAAATTCTAAGAAGGGAAATCTTATCCAGCACAGCTCTACTTGAAGCAATATGTTTACGTATTATCTAATAATGTAAATACTAGTCACTGATTTTTTTCTATGTTAGCTTCAACCTAAAGGCAAAGCACAGAAAATGATTGTAATTATACAACAAACATAAGCATTACCACCTAAACAATATTAAGTATAGAACAGAACCCAATAGAACTTTCTGTGAAGATGGAAATGTTCTATATTTGTCCTGTCCAACATGGTAGCTACTAGTCACACAGAGTGATTCAGTACTTCAAATGTGATTGGTGTGACTGAGGAACTGAACGTTTCATTTTATTTAACTTTAATTAAGTTACATATAAGTTTACCCAGTCTCAGGTGGTCAGTGGCTACCCTATTAGGTGGTACAAGAGTAGATGACAAGCTAGGAGGTGGGAGACAAACAGGGATGCTGGCATCATTGTGCTACAGAAACACAGTCAGAAGACACTACCTATAGTTAATAGAATGAGTGAGAAACACATGTATGAGAATATTCTGTAACAGCCCAGTAGTAACCAATAAAGGAACCAGAAATAGGAATATAACTTCCTTGGGAGGAAAGAGAAGGACTTAGTGGAAATGGCTATAAATAAGCTAAATCCTCTGACATCAAGGTGAGGAGCTCTATAGAAGATGTTCTCTTGATAAATCAAAAAGGAGAGATACGAGCATGTGACTTAAATATGGAAGTACTACCAGGAGACAAAGCTAAAAGATGTAAGAAGTGGTTTGCCACTGAGAATGGGAAAGTGTCTATTGCCTTTTGATATAAAACCTTATGTACTGTTCAATTTCACATAAGGGGCATGTATCATTTCCATCAAAATTGAAAACTGCCCACCTTTCTATCACATTCTCTAAAAAAAAATCCGCGAAGATAAGTTTTGGAGGTGCACAAGCACACAGAACTTCAGGGCTGTCGTACTAAGTGCCAAATAGAAGATAATGGGCATTCTATGCTATGGGGGTCTGGGCAAGAAGGCCCCAGGGGCCTCTACCAACAGGAAGTGCTCCTTAGAGGAGGTGGGCTATGAACAGGTTCTTAAATTTGGGGTTAAGTTTATGTTGGGCAAGAGGGACCTGCCAGCATCCATCCAGTCTCCCTGGAAAGGCTGGCATTTCCCTGATCTCTTGTGTGCGAGTCTTTCTCTCTAACTCTATTTTTCTCTCTCTCTTTCACCATCGCTGTCTCTTTCCCTGCCTTTTCATCTTTCTCTGTACTTGTCTCTCCCTCTCTGTGTCTGTCCCTATCTGTCCCTGCATCCTTCTCCCTCTGTCTTTCTCCCACTGCATTTCTCTCTCCACTTCCTGTGTTCATCTGTCTCCCTCACCAACTCCCTAACTTCCTTTCTCTCTGAGCCACTGTCTCTCTGTCCCTCTGTGTCTCCCTCCCCATTTTGGTGTCTCTGTTGCTCTGCCCCACCGTTTGTCTGTCTGTCTTTTTGTCTCTGGGAGACTCCCTCTATCACTCTCTCTCCTTTATGCTTCATCTTTGTGAAACACCCTCTCTTGCTGTTCATTTCTGTCTCTCCATCTGTGCCATTCCCAACCCTATCTTTTCCTGTCTGTGTTCTCTCTCTCTCTCTCTCTCTCTCTCTCTCTCTCTCTCTCTCTCTCCACCCCCCTCCATCTGCCCGTCAGAGAGAAGGATAACCTGTGGCAGAAGGTTCAGCACCTCTCTTCTGTGGCCCCTGGAGGCTGTATCGGCTGTAGCAAGGTCTTTGGCCGGCTCTCTCGGCGGTACCCATGCAGGTAATGAGTAGTATGCAGAATCCTTCCTCTGGGACAGCCCAGTCTCCACCAGCCCACAGCCCCCTGCCCACTCTGAGGAAGGGAAAGACACAGGAACTTGGCATTGATGAAAGACATTTTAAAGCTGGCCACTCATATTACCTAGCACTTAGCAAAGACATGAATGAGAACAGTGGAGAAAGGTCAGACAGGAATGGCATCTGAAAGATGGGACCGAGTAACCCTTCCAAGAATAGACTGATTAATGGGCTTCTCGTCTGGGAAGAGATTTCCTCTACAGAGGAAGCTGCTGTCCTCACCTCCCTCTGGGAATACAGTGTCAGGACAAGCAACAGGAGAGAGGAAAGTGGGCCATCGGGAGAACTTGCCATTTGGAATAAGAGGACAGACAGGTAAACTCGAATATGCTCGAACCCTATGGCCCCTCCTCTATCCACCCCCTCTGTGTTCTTCACTCTTTCTGCCTTTGCTCCCAGGCTGTGTGGAGGCCTGGTTTGCCATGCCTGCTCTGTGGATTACAAGAAGCAAGAGCACCGCTGCCCATCCTGTGCCCAGCAAGGAGAAGCCCAGGTCATCTAATCAAGACCCACCCAGGACTGGCCATCCCACCCCACCTCCCCTCTGCCCTCCCAGAACCTGTGGTCTGACCAGCACTACCTTCTAGAACTTGGTCACTTAAGGCAGATAGCACTTGAGTTGCCAGACTGTGGTGTGGAGGATGAAAGGAGCCAGGTTAGCAGGCAGGAGACAGGGTCAAGCCCTGCATCTACCACTGAAGAGTTGGGTGACTCAGTCAAAGCTCTCAGCTCTCTGGACGTTTTTCCTGTAACACGCAGAAACATCAGGCACCATGCCATGTACTCTAAGGTCCTTGTGGGCTCAGAAAGTCCTTGACTGTGTTGTGTATAAGACCCAACAGCCTGACTTTCTTCTCCACATGCCCCCTCTCCCAGGCCACCCTCCACAACACTGCACTGTCTCACGGTCCTCAGGAGCTTTCTGTCTGGGGTCTGTTTTTGTTCTGCTTTGTTTTTAACAGCTTTCCCAAGGTTCTACTAACATATAGTACACTTCACATAAATTAAACAATTTGATGACCTTTGACTTTAATTCATACCCATGAAATCGTCACCGTACTCAAAAGAATGAACATATCCATCAGCCCCAAAGTTTCCCCTGCCCTTTGTAATCTCTCCCGCCCCCTCCTCTCCTCATTCCCAGGCAACCACTTACCTGCTTTCTGTCACTAGCAACCAGCTTGCATTTTCTAGATTATATGTGTACACATATATATAATTTTATATAAATTACATATATAGTACTTTATATAAATGGAACCATACCGTCTGCCTTCTTTCACTCAGCATAATTAGTCTGAGGTTCTTCCACATTGTTGTATATGCCCGTAGTTCCTTTGTACTTTTCAGTAGTGTGCCACAGCATGGATATACCACATTTGTTCACCCTTTTCACCTATTGCTACACATTTGGGTTGTTTCTAATTTGAAGCTATTACAAATCAGTTTCCTATCATCATCTGTGTACGAATCTTTGTGTAGACATATGCCTATATTTCTCACGGGTCAGTACCTGAGGAGGAAATGATGGGGTCCTGGTTCAGGTATATGTTTAAGAAACGGCTGAGTTATTTCCCAGAGAGGCTGTAGGCTGTACGTTGTACCCTCCCACCAGCAGCATGGAGAGTCGCAGTTGCTCCCTGGGGCACCTGGCTCGGTGGGCAGGAGAGGGGGCACAGACATCAAAGTTGGACTTCTCTGTCCTTCCCTTCCAGCCACAATGGTGAGTTAAACAGTCCCAAGTTGTGAGTGGCTGGTGGGAGGGCCTGGGTCCAGGTGACTCTCTGTGCAGTACTCGCTTAGCTAAGCCTGAATAAAGACGGTGGATGAGGACTCATGTAGCTCCGTGGTAAAAGGTCACATCCTCTGACTTCCCAAGAAGCCTTACACAAATTGTGTCATTCACCGGGCACCCAGTTGTGGTGTTTCTGAAAAAAAAATGTGGGCCCCACCCTATAACAAGGCAATTTGCTGCCCTAATACCTAGGCTCTAGGGCAGACTCTGTGACCCCAAGCAGGCATGCATACTGTCCCTGTTCCCCCACCTCACGCAACCATCAGCAACTCTGCAGTGGTTGGGCAACTCTGGGCTCCAACCAGAGCCCGTGGACCACTTCTTGGGGTCAGAACCACCTAGAGTTGCATCCCGTTGCCACTCATGGAGCAACAGTTTTGCAAGAGCAGTTCCTGCCCTGGAGAGTTAGTGAGAACTTCTCCTTAGCAGCATCAGCCTGGGGGTGATGGGGCAGGGTGGGGAGGGGGAATGGAGGGAGCAGGCATGGGGCGGGGGCTGGTAGCAGAGCTGGGACTCCCAGAGCAGTCAGGGTAAAAGTATCACCTTACCCCGAAGGGCAGCAGTCTCTTTCTGAAAGGCATACTTGCTCTGATACTTTTATTAGGGCAGGGTTCTTACCATAGCTGAAGGCATCGTATTCAGTAGGAACTCCAGCATGGTGTTGAGACCTGCCTGATAAGCTGAAGGGGGAGAGGGGACCTAGCAGAAGCCTATGTTCCAAGAGGAAGCGAGATGCTACTGGACAAGAACTCATCAGAAGGAAGTTGGGGGCCGTGAAAGGGGGAGAAGTGCCCTTGGCTGGGAGGGAAGAGCAATGCTGGGAACCAGCTTTACACCACTCCCCAAAGAGTCCCCACCAAGTCTAATGGAGAACACAAGAGCTCCACAGAGACACTGGAAAAGTTCATCAAAACTTGGGGACACTCAAGCAGAAAACCACCCCAGAAAGCGACGCTGCAAGGGTACAAGACCCTCAGCAGTGACTTGAGGCCATATATCTAGCACAGCAGCACCCAGAAGCACGTGGGAGATGCCCCCAACAATCTCCTCCAAGTTCCTGGGGAGCACTTTCCAAAGGGATGAAGCCCCGAACAAGCACCCGGGTCTGAGCCAGTACAATTTGGATTATTGCTATGGGACTATGTTGTGCTCAGAGGCTGGGGGTGCCCTGGAAAATTTGGCCGGCAATGATTTCTTTAATTAGACATCACTCGGATGTTCCAGTATACGTCAGTTTCCCCACTTTGTCAATTCATTCAGTGCTCAAGAAAATTGTATTACATCCCTAGGATATGCCAAACACTGATTGGTTTGGGGATACGAAGAGTATATATATGTGTGTGTATATATATATATATATATATATATATATATATATATATAGACATACACACACACACACACACATACACACAATACCTGCTTTCACAAACCTCACAGTGATAAGTAGGAAACAGCCAAACAGACGATTGCAAAACCCTGTAACTGAAGACATGATAGAGGAAGCCCAGGGGTAGAGAGTGCGGGCAGCAGTCCACGGAGGTGACCACTGGGCTGAATGAGAAAGGAAATGGGAGAGTTGGCCAGACCAAGAAGGTGGGAAAGAGCATGCCAGGGGGAAGGAGGTGCATGCCAGGCCCTGAAGAGGACCTAAAACAGTTCCTGGGGGAAGTGCACATGGTTCCCTGTGGCCGAAGTTAAGGGTTCAAGGAGGCGTGGCCTGAAACGAGGTGGAGAAGTGCACAGGGGTCAGGCCCAGAAAAGCACTAGGTGCATTAGTCAAGAGTCTGACGCTGAAGGTAATGGAGGTCCCTGAAGGGTCGTAAGAGGAAAAGAACGTGATCCAGTTGACGCTTTAGGGAGACTGTTCAGGTGGCAGAGTGGAGGGAAGACTGGAGGCAGAAAGCATTTAGGAGAACAGTGGTAGTAACAGCAGCAGCAGCAGCAGCCAACACTGCCAAACTCCATTCTTAGTGCTTTACAAATATGGACTCAGTTAATCCACATGACAGTAGGCATCCTCATTGTCCCCATAATATTACAGTTGATGAAACTGAGACCTAGTGAGATTAAATAACTTGCCCAAGTTCTACAACCAGTAAGTGACATCGCTGGGACCCTAACTCAGACAGCCCAGCTCTGGAATCCACAGCTGTCGCCTGACAGTAGCTCGGAGGAGAGGATGAAGTGTTGCCTATCGCTGTCAGGCAAGGTGGTGAGAAGGAGATAACTTCCGGCAGCGTGGTGAAGGAGATGTTGAAGAGAGAGTTTTGTAGACAGGAAGAGAGAGGGGAGGGTGGGGGTGCTCCAGGAGGAAGAGAGGGCACCCTGGAGGAGAAGCGCCTGGGAGTTTGCAGCATCTGCGGAGCCTCGGGGGAGACGGCACGAGGTAAGTGCATGTAAGAGAAGTTGGGAACTATAGGTATGGGAGTCACTGTGAACTGAGTGGTCACTAAAGCCAAGGAAGGAGGTGGGCTGGCCCGGGGAGAACAGGTAGAGAAGAGGACTAAGACGGAACCCCGGGAACATCCAGTTTCAGGAGTGAATTGATAATGAAGCAACAAATGAGACCAAGAGAGGTTCAGGAGAGGGAAGAGAATGGGGTCAGTGGGATTAAATGATGCAGAGACCAGATCGCATAAGGCTTGGACAGTAACCATTTCATCATAAATAAAAGTTAGAAAGCATAGAGCAGGCTGAGAGAAAATATATAGTTTACCGTAGTTGACAAATATGGAATAGTATGAGGGGAGAGGGTGTCAAGCCCTTTTATAAACTGATGGTGGCAGAATAAACTGGCACTCTTTTTGAAGGGCCATATAGTCGTATTTATCAAAATTTAAATATGCAGAGATGTGACCCTGAAAAATTATAAAGCTACAGAAACACTTAGACACATTCCAAAGACCTACATCCAAAGAAGCTCCTAGCAAGAATACAAGTGTCCGTCTATAAGGTAGTTATCAAGTAAATCATGATACATACATGCCATGGTCCAATATGTCATTAAAAAGAGTAAAATAAAGTGAAATAAGCCAGTCAGAGCAAGACAAATACCATATGATCTCATGTGGGTGTGGACTCTAATGAACAAATTAAAAATGATGAACAAAATAGAAACAGAGGCATGGATGCATGAAGCAGACAGACAGCTGTCAGGAGGGAGCGGGGTAGGGGGACTGGATAAAAGATGAAGGGATTAGTCAAAAAACGTACATACATAACACATAGACGCAGACAACAGTGTGGTGGTGGCCAGAGGGGAAGGGGGTGAGGGGTAGGTGGAAGTGGGCAAAGGGAGAAAAATGGGGACGGAAAGAAACTTTGCTTGGGGTGATGGGCGCATGATGTAATGTGCAGAGGATGTTTTAATGCTTGAAACTTGTATTGTTTTGTGAACGAGTGTCGCCCCAATAAATTCGACTTTTTAAAAAAGTGAGATGATCTCTATGTACTGATGTGGAATAAGTCCACAGTAAGATGCAGAAAATACATTGTTATGGTGCAGAAAATATAACTAGTTAAATATGGTATATTTTTATTAAGGAAGGAAAGAAAACGTGTTAGCATTTTTCTAACTTCTCTAACGAGAAGGACAGGTATAAGTGAACGGAGGAATGGAAGAGCATCTTTCAAGTTTTATTTTATAGGCTTTTGTTTCACCTATATTCATGACAATACGCACGCTTTATTTTTATAACATTAGGCAGTTTTATTTTCTGGGTTTAGTAAACCGGAGGTCACTGGTAACCCAGCAAAAGCTGTTTCAGCAGAACAGTAGGAAGGAAGCTAGTGGCAGTGGGTAAAACAGTGAACGAGAGCTGGCACAGCAGAGACAGCTGCTTTGTCGAAGAGTTTGCATACGAGAAGGAGGGCACAGGGGAATGGTAGCTAAATGGAACCTAGAACAGGAGAAGGAAAGAAGGACATAAGCAAGTTCAGGGGCTGAAGTGAAAGAAGGTGGTTGAAGGGGAAGGGCCAGGAGGCAGGATCCTCAAGTATGTGAGAGGTGGCGGGTCCCACAGCCAGGTGCAGGAAATCACCAGAAAGAGGGGGGAGGGACATTTATCATGACATTTGTCATGCTGACCCTAGAAAGAAGGAAGAAAGTGCACATGTCACCCCAATGACAAGTCTGGCAGCTGGGGTCGCCTACATGTTCCTTTTAAAGAAGGAAGTCAGGGTTCAAAACTCTCAGTGACACAGAGGGACTAGGCAAACGTCCACCTTCAGACTAGCAGTGTCCTCCGGGAGCCAGTAGACAGGAAGGCGTGACAATCCCCAGGGCTGATACAGAATCTCCTTGGCCTGGAGTCCAGTCCTGGGACAGACCTTGTTGCTCCTCTGTGGGAACACCTCTCCTGCTGGGTCTCGTGGATTTCCCCTTTGGCAACTCTGGCTCAGAAGTTTCCCCATAAAGTCTGGTTCACTCTCTTCCTGTCCAACAGCCCTGACTGCTCCCAAGCCCTGAGTCACAGCGGATGTACCAGAGGCCACTTCAGTAATAACAGCAGCTGTAGCAGCACCAGCAGGTAGGTGAGCTCTTCAGTCTTAGAACTGCTGGGGACATATTCCTGATGGAAGGGACTTGGAAAGTTCAGTCTGAGTCCCCTGAGAACTGAGGTGATGACAGGCCGACTCTTAGAGCTAAAGGTAACTGCCATCACCTGAATAGCACGGTACAAGAGAACTTGCTGCCATAACACAAGGATTCTATATCTGCACTATCCAGTGTGATAGCCACTAGTCATGTGGGGCTATGGAGCCCCTGAAATATGGCTGATATGACTGAGGAACTAAATTTTTATTATAATTATTTAAACTTAAGTAGCCACATGTGGCTAGTAGCTATCATATTAGACAGTACAGATCTGGAACAATTGAAAATGGGAAAGTCAGCTTTCGCGCTGCCTGTCGCTATGAGAACCAATTCCTAGAGACAAAGGTTGAATCCGTATGGGCGCTTTATTTAAGTGGCCAGCAATCTGAGAAGACGACTCATTATGTACCTTAAAAACCACCTATGTCTCATCTCAAGCCAACCTTAGGAGAGTGTACGTAAGAGGTTTGGAGTTCAGAAAAAAAGTAGGTAAGGGGTTTGGAATTCAGAGAAAAAGGTTAATCAGATAAAAGTTGCAGTCTGGCGATTTTCCTAGCACCCTCTCATCTGCTGACTGGTAATTCTTTATCTGTGTCCTGGGTAGTGGATGTTCTCTCCCTGCCTCACAATGGCTCAGATACCATCTTGATCGCTCACAGTCCTGCCGGGGCACGAAGGTTGAACTGCTGTGGGTCCCCTGGAGTCAGGGTAGGTCTGGCCATAAGTTTCAGTTCCTGGAACAATAGCTTTCTACAAGCGTTAATTACCAAGTCTATTAACTCCAACTAGGAGCTAAACCATTTTCAACTCCTGAGTTCCCCCATCACAGTCTCCTTATTTTTTCAATGCACAACATCGAGGCTCAGAGACAAGAGGCTTGTCCAAGTTCACACTAATCATTAACAGCAGAACCAGGACTGGGAGCTGGTTCTTTATTCACCTCACCATCAGTCGACATGCATGTGGTGAGGTCAGTGGAAATGAAATCAACCAATGAAAATCAAGAAGTGGGTGAGTTGAGAAATGTCAAATCTGGGCTCTCTGTTGTATACCTTTTGTACTCAGTTGTCTGGGAAAGAGTAATACCTAATGAAGTTCAGAAAACTCAGGCTGCCATCCAGCCCCTTGCTAAAGTGGACAAAATATAAGATTTGAGGTCAGGTAAAAAAAAAGTTTTAAAACTGCTTAACACCCAGTTCATCTGCGTCATTCTAGGTAAGTTGCTTAACTCTTAGAATCTTAGGTTCCTCATTCAGAAAGTGTATTCTTTTTGTAAGGAGTAAGTGATACAGATTCTGAAAAGCACTTTTCCCAGAAGCTAGACCCTCATAGGCACTCAACAGCACAGCTGGTGTGACTGCTGTTATCCGGGTCAGAGCGAGTTAGAATGTCCATTGAGTCAGTCTATATAGCAGACTCACTGCTTTCTCTCGCTTGGGGATGTCAGGAGAGACAGCATGCTGTTAGTTGACAAACTATTTCAGTAATAATGATCACAACAATCAAAGCAAACATTACGCTTTCTATGTGTTTTAACCACGTTTTGGGTAATTTCATTTTATTGTCAGCTTCATTTTATGGCTGAGTAAACAGACTCAGAAAAGAAAGGTCACCTGCCTAGAGTTGCTCAGGGTTCTTAATTGCCACTCCCACCCGCCCCTCTGAGCATGTAAAAGCCTCTGGCTGGAAAGAGAGAGGTGACAAGGAATGTTTGCTGAACAGTTGGACTCAGAGGTTCTTTCCTCAGGGTAGGCAGCTTAGGTGAGCTGGCTGCAGGCTCAGAGTGGAGGGATCGAGTTGCTAGGTAGGGGTTTAGGAGGGAGACGTGAATTTGTGTTCATTGTTCTTCCTGTGTTTATCCTTTCAAGTGCAATCAATAGCAAATGTGACAAACTTCATTCTTAGTGTCAGTCAACCTGTTTACAAAAATGTGTTTGGACTTGCGTAGGGTTTTACATTGTGCCTGAAAGCTTTCTTTCCAAATTAGATGGTCTTGGCATCTAAAGGTGGTAACCACGGCAGACCCAATCCCAAAGGCACAAGCCAAGAAAAAAGAACAATGCCCTAAGAGGTCCTCATGGTCAAAGCAGATGTTTGGGGAGTAAGGTGAAAAACAAGAAGAGGTGAAATGGGAGGGAGGCATAGACAGGGAATCTGTGAGGATTTAAGGATTCCTAGGGTGGGTAGAGTGGAGACCAGAAGCATTAGGTCCAAGAAAGAAAGCTAGCAGACTGTCCAGAGCTTAAGTTTTATCTCCATTGTCTTAATGAGTTGTTCCCCTTTTAGGTATGAAAGATGTTCAAGAGAGATAGTAAGCCCCGGGAAGCCTGAAGCATCTAGAGTGTGGAGAGAGTCAGACAGGGCAGGGGCTGCTAAGATCGGGGCAACCAAGACAGAAATCTCAGCGGCCCTGTGCAAATCACTTCCTTTGCATGAGCCTCAGCATCCTTATCTGTGGAATGCAAAGATTGGCTAGAAAATGCCACAGGTCCTTTCCCCATATTAACCTTACCAGTCTATAAAATATCAGGTGATCAAAGAGCTGACCTGGGAATTAATTATTCAAGTTATCTAGAGCATCCTGCACGGGTAGTGCCTCCGCCCCAGATTGAGCAATCTAATCCACCACTCACTTCCTCCACCCTGTTCTCATCACCACCGCCCTTGCAGTCAGGCACATCTGCTCTCCTGGAGGCATCCTACAGGTGAAAAGCCCAGAGTCCTGGTAAGTCTCGAAACACTCACCCCTCTCGCCACTCAAACTATCCCTGTTCTCTGTCTTCTTGACACCATTTAATTCCAGGCCTCTTTCCCTACCCCTGGTGGGCCTCACCCACACCCCTATGTCTCTTCATTCTTTCTCTTTACACCTTCCTATCCTCAAAAGGAGAGCTTCTGCCCTTCTCTCCTACCCCTGTCTCCAAAAACCACTCAGGGCAACTCAATGCCCACCCCCTTTCATTGCCAACTCAGCCAGCTCTCCATGCTGCAGCCAAAGTTAGGTATGAGAAAGGACCAGACACTGTGGAGTGCCTCCTCCCATATATTAAATGCAAATATGTGTGAATGATATTCAAAGAGAGAAAAATATTGGAACTGTATTAAAATGACTGGTTTTTGTTGTTATTGTTGTGAAAAAGATTGCCTTAAGTGTTTGGAATCTTACAGCATTTTCATGAAATAAACTAGAATCATCCCATCCCTGTTTTTTCCGAACTACTGTGAGTCATTAAGGGGCTGGCAATTTTACTGGATGAGGGAATATCCTGCTGGGTCACTGAGAACATGTCTGGGTGGTCAGTGGGGGCCAGCCAGTCGAAGGAAGTTTGGTTTATCATTTCTGAAAGGGCTGTTTCTTTCATTCTGGGCTTAGGGAACAGCCAAGAAAGCAATGTATGCATAGCACATCAAACAATGGGAGTGAGCTACACAGGTTGCCTTCATGGAACCTAAGAATTTACCTTACCAAAATATTTAATGTATGAGTAATGATTTTTTTTGGTTGTAGTCTTAACTAGCTGGGCATTCCACCACTGTTGATGTCATCTATCATGTATAAGGGTAACAGCCGTCAACATGCCAGGTCACAGACTGGGCAGTCCCCAGGATCTCTTTAATGGTTCCAGAAAATTCTGTAGCTAAAGACTGGTTCCATATCTGTCAGGCAATACTGACAATCCCATCAAAAATGATATTTCCACAGTGCTTAAGGTCTTGCTGTTTTCTTCTGTCTCTTGGTGTTCTCCAGAGGATGTTGATGGTAAGGGCAGAGGCAGTGATACCACCTTAAACTGGGCCTGTGTGTTCTGAATGGTTAGTTTCACTGTGATCCTCTGACCCTTCCTATCACCTTTTTCCTTGACAATGTCAAAACCAAACTTTTTTGGGGACAGACACTGGAGGCTGATCTTGGGGTCAAAGGCAGTCATGGCGTTGACTTCCCCATGGGTGAGCCTCCAGTGAACAACTTCGATCTCGTTGAGGTAGACCTTAGGGGGCATGGTGGCAAGGGCTGGTATTGGATAAACCTGGATTTGGATGAATGAAGACAGTTGCATTTGGCCTCCTCTGAGCCTCAAGTTCAGAGGTGCGGTTGTATTTAAGGAGCAGGTTTGCAGACTAAAAATAGCCTCTGGGTCCATCCACACTATTTGGGATTTTGGCTGCAGCACTTCTAGGCTCTGTGACCACAGACTGGTTTCTGAGCCTCGCTGTGTCTGTCTTCTCACTGGTAGGGACACCAGAACTCCATCATATCTACTTGTCATGATCAAGGGAAACCATGTACCTATGAGTCACAAAGTAGATCTCAGAGTGTCATCTTCCTATCTTCCTTTCCTTAGTTTCTCCCTTTCACTGCCAAATCATCACCTCTAGAGATTGGTTAAAAAACAAACAACAGAACATTCCCCCTACAACTCCCACTACACCCCCACCCCAGCCAGTGGCTGGAGGTCCCTGCCTTGGCCTGGAGGCCTAGTTCCCTTTTCTGAGTTCTCTACTTCTGTCCTGACCTGCATGGGAATGGAACTCACCCATATACTTGCCATCTGACCCCAGCACAAATAAGCACTGGACTGTCCAGAATGAGGACTCATCTGTAGAGCATGATTGTCTGCTGCTGCCTCTTCTTATAGGGAAGTTTTTGCAACTTCCCCAGCCCTGTCTTCTCACAGCTGATGTTCACAGATGTGGGCTTCTCCTCTCTGCAGGCATAAGCTCTCTGTACCCATCAATGATCGGCATTCTCTCTCAAAGGTGGGCCTTCTCCTAGGTCATTGGTTCCCTTAAGTGCATCTCTGATCATTTGCTCACAGAGATAATCAGAGAGATGTACTTAAGGGAACAAATTCCTCCTCAACATTGTTATTGCCCATCATTTTTTTTATTATGAGCATCCCAATGAGTGTGAAGTAATTCCTGAGACTTTTATTTTATATTTTTTCTCTTTAACACTGGGTTCCATTTGAAGGTGGGTTATAGACTTGCCTATGGTCACAGGATGCTCATACCTTATGATAAAGAAATGGCACAATGGAGATTTATTTTGTGGTTCAAAAGGAAGCTAATTCTGCAGCTGGTTTACTTTAGTCTACTTATTCTTTGAAAATTGGGATAATAGTTCAGTGGCTTCAACTTCCCCCAGAAGCAAGCTGCCCACTAATCCTGTAACAAGGGCAGCATCAAGAGATAAGTTTGTCTGGGTGGGCTGGGGAGTCAGGAAGGGATGAAGGGATGCACTGGCAGGACAAGAAGGGTTCCCACCAGGACTGGGAAGCCACCAAAACAAAGAGAATATGTCTCCACCTGCCTTCTCTGCTTCCTGCTGCCCCTTCTCCTTATCTAGAAGCATCTTGGCTTTCTCTGGCTCCCTCGTGGCAGTATATAACTGCCCAGAGCTCCCAAGGTAATCTGCTACATTCCTGCCCACCCGGATGGAGAATCAGTCAGCCACCTGCTTATGACTTTTAATATAGTTTTTCAAACCACACAAATACTCTCAGAGAAGTCTTCCTGCCTCCCAGAAAAACAAGGCTGGGTAAACGTTCTTCTAGTTTGAGCATCCTGAAACTCTATACTGCTATTGTTCAGTTTTTCAAGAACACTTCTTTTTTTAACTTACAGAAAGCTGGACAAAGGGATTAATCTCTCAGCTTTAGTGGTAAACCTTGATCTTTTTAGAGGGTCCAACTCAATTGGATTGCCTGCTTAATCCCCCATATTGAGAAGGAACAACACCTCATGTGTCTGACATTAAACTCAGCCTCAACAGTCAGGGATGCTCACCACTGAGGTATCTGAGACAACAGGTTCAGTGGACATTATCCAAAGGGAAGTTTCCACAGTGATTTGAGTGATGGTAATGTCATGGAAAGTGCTAAGAACTTCTCTCTGACTTTGAATGGAACTATATTCTTGTCATGAAATATACAACTTATCACTAAATGTGCCTCATTAACATTAGAGTTAGAGCCCGTAGTAGTCCCTGAAGGGAAAGTTACTTCCACATAACATATAAGCGGATGCAAAAAAATCCTACTGAAGGCAAAAAGGCTGGAATCTGGGGAGACTTTATGATGTAGTAACACTCATCTCTCTTCTCTAGGCCACAGAATGGATTACTACAATGCAGAAAACTTGTACTGGGAAAATTTAACCTGGGATGAGGCCTACACTTATAACTACACTGACCTGTTGTCCCTCACTCCCGATACTGCCCCATGCCGACCGGAATCTCTGGATATCAACAAGAATGCTGTGATTGTCATCTATGCCCTGGTCTTCCTGCTGAGCCTGCTGGGAAACTCCCTGGTGATGCTGGTCATCTTACACAGCCGGGTCAGCCGCTCTGTCACTGATGTCTACCTGCTGAACCTGGCCCTGGCTGACCTGCTCTTTGCCCTGACCTTGCCTATCTGGGCTGCCTCCAAGACAAAGGGCTGGATCTTTGGCACAATCATGTGCAAGGTGGTCTCACTCCTGAAGGAAGTCAACTTCTACAGTGGTATTCTACTGCTGGCCTGTATCAGCATGGACCGCTACCTGGCCATTGTGCATGCCACACGCACACTGACTCAGAAGCGGCACTGGGTCAAGTTCATATGCTTAGGCATCTGGACACTATCTCTGATCCTGTCCCTGCCCATCTTTGTCTTCCGTAAGACCATCTACCCACCTAATTTAGGCCCAGTCTGTTACGAGGATTTGGGTGCCAACACAACAAAGTGGCGCATGGTGATGCGGATCCTGCCTCAGACCTTTGGCTTCCTCTTGCCTCTGCTGGTCATGCTGTTCTGCTATGGGTTCACCCTGAGCACACTGTTTCAGGCCCACATGGGGCAGAAGCACCGGGCCATGCGGGTCATCTTCGCTGTCGTGCTTGTCTTCTTGTTCTGCTGGCTGCCCTACAATCTGGTCCTGGTGACAGACACCCTCATGAGGCTTCGGGTCATTGAGGAGACCTGTCAACGCCGAAATGACATTGGCCGAGCCCTGGATGCCACCGAGATTCTGGGCTTCTTCCACAGCTGTCTCAATCCCCTCATCTATGTCTTCATTGGCCAGAAGTTTCGCCATGGACTCCTCAGGATCATGGCCACCCATGGCCTGATCAGCAAGGAATTCCTGGCCAAGGAGGGCAAGCCTTCCTTTGTTGGCTCTTCTTCAGGGAACACTTCTACCACCATCTAAGACCCCCACCCCTGTTGCAGCCCCACAGGGCCCCTTCCCTCCTGCAAGCACCCGAGACTCATGTCTACTGGCTATTCACAGTCTCTGTGTCAGGACAGCCCCCCACTGAGGTCACAGGAAGTTGCTGAGGCCTCAACCTCACCAGGCCCCATTGTATGGCTGAGAAAGCCTGCCTTGAAGCCTCACCCCTCATTGTAATTACTATGTCATCTGTGAGAGCTCTGTCCATTCTACCACTGAGCCCATAGCACTCTGTCCTCGGAGACATTTCAAAGATACGCTTTGTAGTGAGTTCAAAAAGTTCCCAGCCTTGGGAGCTATCAGTGGCAGACACCACAGTTGCTTCCCCAACTCTCCCTTTCCTTGCTTGCTGGCCAAGTCTGCTTCCCTTGAGAGAGGCTGAAAATGATATATACCTCCACGATTTCTTTAAGCTAGGAGTGGCCATATTTTCCAGTTCTGACTAGGAAGATTTACAGGCAAGTATGTGCTGGTAAACTAATCTCCTGGGGGAAAAATGTCTTGTATGAAGCGTTCACCGAGTTCCATGTTATAAATGCTCCCCACCATAGCAATTTCAAGGGTGGTGGTGTTTAACAACCAGCTCACAAAATTCTAGAAAATGTAATAATCTATTTTCATAAGCAGGTACAAACTGGCTTCTGCGAAACATTGCATAAGAGGAGTCTGCTGGGGCCAGGGAACTCCTGGGAAATACTCCTGATTAAAAAAGAGAGGAACACACACTCCCACATACTTGGGTCTTGGGTTTAAATGTGGATATAGGCTATGATATGTGGTACTGAGGCGACAATTTTGTGACAACGAGGCAAAAAAACCTAACACGCCTAACAAACCTAACAGCTTGGGCTGATGAAGGCAGAGGATAAAAAGAACTTAAAAATGGAAAGCCCAGGAATAAATCTAAACAAGCACAAGAAGAAAACTGGTCCTTTACCTTACATCATATACAAAAATTAACTCAAAATAGATTGAAGATCTAAACATAGGAACAAAACTCTATAACTCTTAGAAAAAAACAAGGGGGTAAAATCTTCGCAATATTGGATTTTGCAGTGATGTCATGGGTATGACACCAAAAAAACAGGCAACAAAAGAAAAAATAGATAAATTGGTCTTCATCAAAGTTAAAAATTTTTGTGCATCAAAGGACACTTTTAACAGAGTAAAAGGTAAACCACACAAGGGGAGAAAATATTTGCAAATCATAGATCTTACAAGGAGTTAATATCTAGAATATATAAAGAATTCCTTCAACTCAGTAGCAAAAAAAAAAAAGGCCTTATTCCAAAATGGGCAAAGTACTTACAGAACAGACATACCTCCAAAGAACACATATAAAAAAACAACAAAATAACAAGTGTTGGTGAGGACATGAAGACACTGGATGATTGTGCAATGCTGGTGAGAATGGAAGATGGTACAGCCACTGTGGAAAACAGTGTGGTGGTCCCTCAAAAGCATTAAACCTAGAATTACAATATGATTCAGCAATTCCGATTCTGGGTTATAGCCAAAGCACTGAAAGCAAAGACTCAACTGGATATTTGTACACTGGTGTTCATAGCAGCATTATGTCTGCAATAGCCAGAAGATGGAGACAACCCAGATGTCCATCAGTGGATGACTGGATAAATAAAACATAGTATATTCATACAATGGAATACTATTCACTCTTAAAAAGGAGCAAATTTCTAATATATGTTATAATATGAGTAAACCTAGAAAATATTATGCTAGGAGAAATAAGCCAGACAGAAATACTACATGATTGAACTTATATGAAGTACCCAGCATAACTAAATTCATAGAGACAGAAAGTAAAGTAGAGGTTACCAGGGGGTTGAGGCGGGGAGGCAATGGGGAGTTATTGATGAAAGAATACAGAATTCAGCTGGGGATGATTAAAAGATTCCGGAGATGGATAGTGGTGATAGTTGTACAACACTGTGAATGTACTTAATCCCATTAAACTGTATATTAAATGTTAAAATGGTGAATCTGGCTGTGTATATTTCACCACAATTTTTTTTAAGAAACCTCATTACAAAAAAGCAAATCCTAGAACCACTTACCTATAACTTCTTGTTAAGTGAGATAATAAAATACATACCTTTTTTGTACAAACCATTTTTATTTTTTATATTCTATTGATTATGCTATTACAGTTGTCCTGGTTTTCTTCCCTTTGCCCTCCTCCACGCAGCACCTGCCACTCCCTCAGGAAATCCCCCCACCATTGTCCACGTCCATGGGTCATGCGTATAATAAGTTCTTCCACTACTCCATTTCCTACACGATACTGTACATCCCCGTGGCTATTCTGTAACTACCTATTTGTACTTCTTAATCCCCTCAGATCTTCACCCATTCTCCCTCACCCCCTCCCATCTGGCAACAATTAAAACATCCTCTGTATCCATGATTCTGTCTCTGTTCTTCTTGTTTGCTTAGTTTGATTTGTGGATTCAATTGTTGAGAGATACATATTTTTACAATTTTATTGTTCATAGTTTTGATCTTCTTTTTTTTCTTAAATAAGTCCCTTCAACATTTCATATAATAATGGTTCGGTGATGATGAACTCTAGTTTTCTCTTATCTGGGAAGCTCTTTATCTGCCCTTCAATTCTAAATGATTGCTTTAATGAATAGAGCAACCTTGGTTGTAGGTCCCCGCTTTTCATGACTTTGAATATTTCTTGCCAATCCTTTATGGTCTGCAAAGTTTCTTTTGAGAAATCAGCTCACAGTCTTATGAGAACCCCCCTGTAGGTAACTAACTTCTTTTTCCTTGCTGCTTTTAGGATTCTCTCTTTAGCTTTAACTTTTGGCATTTTAATTATGATGTGTCTTAGAGTGGGTCTCTCTGTACCCATCTGGTTTCGGACTCTCTGTGCTTCCTGGACTTGCATGTCTATTTCCTTCACCAAAGTAGGGAAGTTTTCTTTCACTATTCTTTCAAATAGATTTGCAGTTTCTTGCTATTTCTCTTCTTCTTCTGGTACCCTATGATGAGAATGTCAGACCTCTTCATGATGTCCCAGAAACTACTTACACTATCCTCATTTTTTAAATTATTTTTTCTTCTTCTTGTTTTGATGGCTTATTTTTGGTTCCTTACATTCCAAATCATTGATCTGATTCTCGGCTTCATCCACTCTACTGTTGTTTCCCTGTAAATTATTCTTTAATTAATGAATCCTTCATTTCTGACTGGATCTTTTTTATGCTGTTGAGGTCCTCATTAAGTTCCTTGAGAATTCTTATAATGAGTGTTTTTAACTCTGCATCTGATAGATTGCTTATCTCCATTTCATTTAGCCTTTTTTCTGGAGCTTTGGTCCATTCTTTAATTTGGGCCATGTTTCTTTTTGAGTCCTCATTTTGGCCACCTCTCTATGTTTGTTTCTATGTATTAGGTAGAGCTGCTTTGACTCTATGTCTTGGTAGTGTGGCCTAATGTAGTAGGTATCCTATAGGGTCCAATCACACAGCCTCCCCTATCACCCATGTTGGGTACTTGAGGTGCACCCTTTGTGTAGACTGAGTACACCCTTCTCTTGTAGTTGAGCCTTGGTTGCTGTTAGCAGATCAATGGGAGGGATTTACACAGGCCAGTCAGCTGCATGGACTGGCTGTGACCACTGACCACCAACCTCTGCCCTCTGTGGAGGATCATCTGTGCAGAGGCAACATGATAGTGCTCTGACATGGTCTACAGCTATCCAGTGGGTGTGCTGACCCTGGGGTTTCCCCAAGTGGTGCCAGCCAAGGTCAGCCCCACCTGTGTTTCACCAGGGGCACCCTCCCTGAGCTATAAAGCAATCTGAGAAGGCTGCTACTTGTGCTGGGCTGGGAGATTCCCAGGCAATGCCAAACTGTGAATCTAAATTGGCTGCCCCAACTTCCAGCCAAGATGGAGGCGTAGGTGGAAACGCTGTACCTCCTCGCACATCCAAGCTTAAAGACCACAAAGATTTAGTAACAAAAGCACAATCAAAACAGACAGAAAATTGAACTATACAGAAGTCCGACAACAACAAAGCATTCAACCAGACTGGTAAGAAGGGTAGAATCAGCAGCTGGCGGAGAGGGATCATTCAGGAAAAAGTGGCCAGACTGACCCAGGCACGCAGGTGGTAGTTGGCAGATCCCAGGGGTGGGGTGGCAACAGGTAGACCCAGTGAGGGCACAAGGCGGCTGGCTGACTGCAGTCACACATTCACACTCAGATAAATCAGGCAAAGGAACAAGCAGTGAGACAGATCATGCAAACCAGGGCCCCAGTGATGGAAATTAAGGCCTAAAAGCACCAATTAGGAAAACCTTTTGGGGTTTGAGGTGCTGGGAGAGGCTCCCAGGCTCACAGAGAGTTTGTTGGAGAGACTCACTGGGTCCTGGATGGTGCACAAGCCCGCACACCCACCAGAAGGGCCCGGGAACCAGCACCAGAGGGGCCCAATTTGCTTGCAGGAAGCAGCAGAGGGGACCAAAATCTGAGAGAGAGCAGAACAGACACCACTGCCCCTCTCTGATCTCACCCCCACATACAGCATCACAACCCAACATCTGGGTCACCCTGGTGAACACCTAAGGCTCCACCCCTCATACAAAACAGGCACGAACAGACCAAAACAATATGGCTCAAGAAGAACAGCTCAAAGCCCCAGAGCCAATACTTCTAAGTGACCAAGAGATAGCTAATCTATCAGATACACAGTTCAAAATGCTGGTAATCAGGATGCTCACAGAACTGGTTGATTTTGGTCACAAATTAAATGAAAAAATGAAGGCTAAACTAAGAGAAATGAAGGGAAATGCACAGGGAACTAATAGTGATGGGAAGGAAACTGGGACTCAAATAAATGGAATGGACCAGAAGGAAGAAAAAAAAATGACCAAACAGAAAAGAATCAAGAATCAAGAATTCGAAAAAATGAGGAGAGGCTTAGGAACCTCCAGGACATCTTTAAATGTTCCAACATCCAAATTATAGGGGTACCAGAAGGGGAAGAGAAGGAACAACAAGTGGAAAATTTATTTGAACAAATAGTAAAGGAGAACTTCCCCAATCTGGCAAAGGAAATAGACTTCCAGGAAATCCAGGAAGCTCAGAGAGGCCCAAAGAAGTTGGACCCAAGAAGGAACACACCAAGCCACATCATAATTACATTAGCCAAGATTAAAATGAAGGAGAGAATCCTAGAAGCAGCAAGAGATAAGGGGACAGTCACCTACAAAGGAGTTCCCATCAGACTGTCAGCAGATTCCTCAAAAGAGACCTTACAGGCAAGAAGGGGCTGGAAAGAAGTATTCCAAGTCATGAAATCCAAAGACCTACAACCAAGATTGCTCTATCTAGCAAAGCTTTCATTTAGAATGGAAGGGCAAATAAAGTGCTTCTCAGATAATATCAGATTCAAGGAGTTCATCATCACCAAACTCTTTTTTTTTAAATTTTATTTAGTTATTTTTCAAGTACAGTTTTTTGTCTATTTCTCCCATCCCAGCTCCCCCTGCCCCGTCTCCCCACCTCCCTCCCATTCCCCCCGCCCCAGTCCTCATCCCTGTGTCTTTCATACTTGTTCCTCAAAATCCCTTCCCATTTTTCCCCTTAAATTCCCTTCCCTCTTCCCTCTGGTCGCTGCCCACTTGTTCTCTATTTCAGTGTCTTTGTTTTTATTCTGTTTGCTTGTTTGTTTTGTTGTTTAGCTTCCTGTTAAAGGTGAGATCATATGGTATTTGTCCGTCATTGCCTGGCCTATTTCACTCAGCATAATGCTTTCCAGTTCCATCCATGTTGTTGCAAAGGGTAGGAGCTCCTTCTTTCTCTCTGCTGCATAGAATTCCATTGTGTATATGTACCACAATTTTTTGATCCATTCATTTACTGACGGGCACCTAGGTTGCTTCCAGCTCTTGGCTATTGTAAATTGTGCTGCTATGAACATTGTAGTGCATAGGTTCTTTGAAATTGATGTTTCAGGATTCTTGGGATATAATCCTAGCAGTGGAATTGCTGGGTCACCAAACTCATATTATATGAAATGTTAAAGGGACTTATCTAAGAAAAAGAAGTTAAAAAAAGATGAGCAGTGAAAGGACAGAAAACTCACAGTTATTAACAACCGCACCTAAAACAAAAGCAAACTAAGAGGACAGCTAGATCAGGAGTGAACCATAGAAATGAAGATCACACAGAGGGTTAGCAACAGGGGAGTGGGAGGAGGAGAAGGCAGAAGAAGGTACAGAAAATAAGTAGCATAGATGGTAGGTAGAAAATAGACAGGGGGAGGGCAAAAGTAGTACGAGAAATATAGAATCTAAAGAACTTGTGACACCTGGACATAAACTAAAGGGAGAATGGTGGGGGAGGGGTGTGCAGGGTGGAGGGGAATAAAGGAAGGGAAATGGTACAACTATAATGGCATAATCAATAAAATGTATTTTTTATTTTGTTTTTTTATTGATTATGCCATTACAGTTGTTCTATTCCCCCCTTCATTCCCCTCCACCCTGCACACCCCCTCCCCCACCATTCCCCCCTTTAGTTTATGACCATGTGTCTCAAGTTTTTTAGATTCTATATTTCCCGTACTATTCTTACCCTCCCCCCCATCTATTTTCTACCTACCATCTATGCTACTTATTTTCTGTACCTTCTCCCCCCTTCTCCTCCCACTCCCCTGTTGCTAACCCTCCTTGAGATCTTCATTTCTATGTTTCTGCTCCTGATCTAGCTGTCCTTTTAGTTTGTTTTTGTTTTAGGTGTGGTTGTTAATAACTGCGAGTTTTCTGTCCTTTCACTGTTCATGTTTTTTTAACTTTTTTCTTAGATAAGTCCCTTTAGCAGTTCATATAATAAGGGCTTCGTGATGATGAACTCCTTGAATTTGATCTTATCTGAGAAGCACTTTATCTGTCCTTCCATTCTAAGTGAAAGTTTTGCTGGATAGAGTAATCTTGGTTGTAGATCTTTGGATTTCATGACTTGGAATATTTCTTTCCAGCTCCTTCTTGCCTGTAAGGTCTCTTTTGAGAAATCTGCTGACAGTCTGATGGGAACTCCTTTGTAGGTGACTGTCCCCTTATCTCTTACTGCTTCTAGGATTCTCTCCTTCATTTTAATCTTGGCTAATGTAATTACGATGTGGCTTGGTGTGTTCCTTCTTGGGTCCAACTTCTTTGGGCCTCTCTGAGCTTCCTGGATTTCCTGGAAGTCTATTTCCTTTGCCAGATTGGGAAAGTTCTCCTTTATTATTTGTTCAAATAAGTTTTCCACCGGTGGCTGTTCCTTTCCCCCTTCTGGTACCCCTATAATTCGGATGTTGGAGCGTTTAAAGATGTCCTGGAGGTTCCTAAGACTCTCCTCATTCTTTTGAATTCTTGCTTCTTCACTCTTTTCCGTTTGGCTATTATTTGC